TCCTTGCGGAGGAGCTTGACGAGGTTACGGTTGAATTTGGCGCCGAAGCTGTCTTCCTCGGCTTGGGTACCGTTTTTAGCGACGTCGATGCGCGGGGTCGCGTTGAAGAGGGCGCCGTATCTGTGATGACGGTGTTAGTCGAAGTCATCGCCAACCCAACCCAGCCAACCTCCCCACTCCCGCTCCCCCATGACCCCAAACGACAGCGACGCAAAGAGACAAATGGAAAACTCACCCCTTTGTAAAATCCAAATCGCGACTCTCAAAAAACACGCGCCGCCCGGCGTCCCCGGACAACCCCACAATCCTCATCTTCCCAAAATAAAAACTCCAGTTCCCGAACCGGCCCAACCGCGCCCCCTCGGCCAGGAAATTCCCCCGGTCCGTGAAGAAGCGCGGCGTGCCGAGGACGGGCCACCCGCGCACCACCTTGGGCGCGTTGCGCGGGAACGAAGGGCGGTAGGCGAGGAAGCCGACGGCGTAGGCGAGTCCCGTGAGGAGGAGGACCCAGATCGACGTCGGCCACGTTTGCGGGTGGAGGAGGGTTTGGGTTGCTGCTGTCGCGAGGGACATTGTGGCGATGACCGACTTTCTTTTCCCGGTTTTGTTGATCTTTTATTGTTGTCTGGGAGTTGGTCGTGAGGAGGCGGCCCTTTTGTTGAAGATTGTTTCTTCTTATCTGGCGATGTTTCCTTTTCCAAGAGAGCTCGAAGAGCTCACGAAGATGAGATGAAAAGATCCAAGAGACGACTTCACCAAAACAGAGTTGCAGAGAAGGGAACAGAGAAAGTAAGAAACGAAGAAAGAAAGGGTAGGAACGATATCAGTCTGCGTAATAAGAGCAGATGGAGAGTGGGTGTGGCTCCAGCTGAGACGAGTCCGTTCGAAACGCTCGGGTAAAGAGGAGCGAGTGGAAGATGGGACTAACACCAAGTGACCACCGCGCAGTGAGGTTACAAGTATGAACTAGCTGATGATACCCTTGTCATTGAAAACTCACAGACATCCATCACCTTTTCCCTAGTACGGAATACTGACTTTGGGGTCTGCGCTAAGGTACAGCCAGGCGAGCCAGAGGAACTTTGGAAACCCAGGGAACCTTTGTTCCTCGTCTTCCTTGCCGTCATTTGGAACCCCTCATTCAGTCTCAAGCAAACGATCGGGGGAGATCCCTACTACGATCACGCACCACCCTAGAATGGGGAACACGTCAAACATTTCCAGTTGTGTTTCTCCCGCGCAAGCTTCTTGAATTCCCGCCTAACTGCACCATGTCCCCGGATTGCGCAGTACCCAGATAGCTTCTCAAGAAAGATGTCGTGCGGGGTGGCAAAAAAGCCTAAAAAAAGCTTCAGGATATCATGTCGTCAAGGATAAGAGCTCCGGCGGCGGGATACCAAACCTCTCTCCCCGCGCCTCAGATTTCTTTCCATCGCCCCTTCGGTTCCCTCTTGACGGGTCATTTGAACGCGATCCAAAGTCCCAAGCCTGCGTATGTCAGGACGTCGCTGGGTCCATTGAAACGCTCACGAATACGCAACTCCCAATTGGGTAACGCCCCCTCCAGGGTTCAAAGGGTCCGCGATCTGCTTCCCTCGCTCGGCGGGCTGCATTCCACCCGCAGGGCCCTAGCTCGAGCAGCGAGCTACCCATCTTGCCGTGCTTGCCTGACACTAGTATTGTACTTTCGAATACCGCAGTAGCTTCAGAACATGCACCGGGAAGAAACACACCTCTTCGCCTCGGTGCTTGACTCTTGAGAACGTGAGAGCTCACCTGTACTCCGTACCAACTCAAAGGCCGGAATCACCAAGACATGTCTCCAGAAGCCCCCCCGCCGGATCAGCCGCTAGTGGCAGGCGGCGCACGGCAGATGCCTTAGCCGAAGGTGAAACTTTCCAAACGTTGAGGGGCGCGACGGGGGGCAGGCAGGGGTACGGGGCAGGTCGGTTGGCATGTTTTGCTGCAGACGTGCATATCCCGTTTGCCGTTTGGAGATGCCATCCCAGGCACGCTTGGGAGCTTGAGCCAGCTCTGCTCGCGTATTCGCACTTGTAAACGAGTTGAACGAGGCGAGGCGGGGCGCATGTAACTACCCATACGTCGTTCACGGTTCACCGCCTTGGTGAAGGTAGAAGCTTGTTGATGCATCGGTTGGGAATACTTCGGTCACGGAGCTTTTCGAGATGGGTCTTTTCTACTCCTACTCCCAGGTATCATCTGATCTACGGAAGACTACTCGTACACTAGAAACTGACTGTAAGGGGAAGAAACGAGATGCGAAAGAAGACAGAGGCTCGTATTCCTCGGTTCTCTCGCCCAACCTCATCTCCATGCTTCATTCTACTCCGTTCGCGTTCTGGAAACTTTGGGATTCCTTTTCATTACTGCCTTATATCCCACCCGTCCCTACCGGCAATACAGAAAAAGAGACTTTCCACCTGCGCCGGGATTTGAGCCAACAATCCAACGGTTCCCTCCCCTTTTTGTCCTCATCTTCTCTCCTCATTGATCTTCAACTCGCATTTACCCAGATGGCCGCGATACCACCCGTTCCTACCAACAACCAAACCAATGAACCAATGAACCATCTCTCCCCTTCATCTACACACGTTCGCCCCCGCGCGCCGCGTGGCTAGAGTTCCCGAGTGGGAGAACTACAATCATCATCACCAATCGCCCATCATCCGGTCCTTGAATGTTCGCTATCAATCTCAAGTTCATCTTGCTCTGAGTGGTGGCCCGTCATCAGATACTGAATATCAAATCATTGGCAGGCGTAGACCGTGTCCGAAATATAATAAACAAGAAGAAGAAAGGACTGAGTCAAGACGTAAAGCTCTTGAAATCGTATACTTTAATAAACCTAAAGGAAAAGGGGTATCGTCTAATAATGCAAGCTATGCCACCATTCAGTCTCTCGCAACCACCCCATCACTCCGGTCCAACGTCTCCCGTCAACCCATAATCTAACAATGTAGAGAAGCAGTACCTTTCCTCTCCATCACGGGACCAACACCAACACCCACAACATCGCCTCCAACAAGAACCATCCAGTCCCAGAAACCATCAGCTCACTAAACAGCCTCCCAATCCATAGCCTCAACCATGAAATCAAACTCATCCTCCTCCATCTCAACAACCCCTCCACCTACACCACCACCGCCAGCACCACCACCACCACTACCAGCCCCCATCTCCGCCTGCACCCACTGCTCCGCAACCGCATACCCAGCATCAAACCCGGCAAAGATGTACCTAAAAATCCTGTCCAGGTCATAGCTCTCCAACGGCGCCGTCCCAGCCCTCTCCCTCGCCGCCATGCTGCTCCTCCCACCCGCCACGGCCCCCCTCCCCGCGCCCCCGTTCCCGCTCCCGTTACCGTCCGGGTCCGCCGGGTCCTCGGCATACTTCCACCGGTTCCGCAGCTCCTTGGCCCTCAACAACTGGAACACAACCTCTCCGCTCCCCAACGCCTCGTGAAGCGGATTATCCTCCTTCTCCAGCGCCGCAATCACGTTCTGATGATACGTATGCGTCGCCTGCTGCGTCCCGTTCCCCTGCCTCGTCGTTGATGTCGTGGTGACCCACCCGTCCCGCGAAATGGTAATCCCAAACACGCCCATCAAATGCACCAACGCCCGCTCCAGCAACATGTAATACTCGTAAAAGTCGAGCTTGAACATGAGCTCCGCCTCCTCGGCGTCCGTCTCACCCCCGTACAGCGGGGATTCAGGCCGTGCTATGGCGTGGTGGTACCCGTGGCTCAGGTACGGCAGCTTCCACTTCAGCCGGCGGACGATTTGGATGTACCGCTTGAACTCCTGCTGCGCCGAGAGGCCGCCGCTCGGCCGAGGTGCGTGAGAGGAGGTTGCGTTCGTGTTTGTATTCCCGCTGTCGTGGCTGTTGGGCGTAGCCGTCCCGGACGTGGAGGTAGCCGTGGCGGGTCGGTAGGCGCCGTTCTTGACCGGGGACGGGGGTCTCGGTGTGGCGGGTGTGATGATGGAGGAATGGTACTGGTTTGACTGGTATCTGTACAAAGGTTGGGCTTTGCCTCGGGCGGCCCAGATAGAGTCGCCCAGACCCTTCTTGGTTTTCGAGATGCCGTTCATTTCGAATCTGGAGGCGTCGGCCGGCTGGGCGTGGGTCGTTTCTTCTCTCTCGTTTTCGGGGTCACTCGCGGTGGTTAATGTCGTTGACAGGCTTCCGTCACAGATGCTCGATGATGGAAGCTGCGCTAGAAAAGAGAAGACGGAAATCGCGCTCGACTCCGTGAAATCGGGCAATGGCTGACGACAAAAGTTGGAGTCAAGTGTTGTCAGGCTACTTCGACAGCTTTGGACAGATGCACACAAATGATGGATTGTAGAGACTGATTGTCAGAAAGAATGTTTGCGCGAAACAACGTTGCTTGTAATGCAACACAGGCGACAAAGTTATCGAACAATGGATAACGGGCGTCGGCAGCCCCTTTTGTATCTCACGTCGTTGTTGGTTCGGCCGGCGTCTATCGACCTTCCACGTCGGAAAAGGGAATGGAAGCCGGGAAGTTGTTGTCGGGCGGGCGAGCTTGTGAGGTAATGGATGGTGGGGTTGGAGCATTGGCACAGGCAGGGGAGGTTAGGTCCGGCCGGGCAGTTGCAGCGGGGAGACGCGCCTGACGCGTGCCAAAGAAAGTCGGCAATCCCTGGAAGGAAGGGACCTTCAGGCCATAATGCCTTACCTCAGCGCCTAAGTTCCCCACGGCTGGCATCTCTATCATGAGGTGATGAATGGATGCCATCTCCCAATTGCTTCACATAATCACTCTCGTACTCCAATTGAGTGTGTACAAAGTGCCCTTGGGCTTTTAATTGTATGTCGAAATCGTACTCATACGTATTTCTAGGATATACAGCTTCAACAATGCCCCGTCAACCACGCAATAAATCCTCCAACGCCGGGCCCGGTTACCGTGACTCTGATCCAAGAACGCCTTCATCAGCCATCCGGCCGGTCTACTACGCCTTCTTCGTAGCCTTGGCTGAGCCAATATGGGTATTATGAACCTGCTTCGCGTTAGCATGTTTCTCTCATACAAGATGGGTATTCGCAGCCGCATTAAACTCACTTTGGTAGCAAAACGCAAACTCGTCACCGTCTCCTTCAGATGCGCCTCCAACGGGCTGACCATCACAAACATGAGCGTCTTGCTGTTACCCCCAAGGGAGTACTGGAGCAGATGCGTCAACTTGGAGTTGCGATAGGGGATGTGCCCGCTCTTCTTGCCGAGCGCCTCAATCACATCGCCGAGACACGACAGAGACTTGTTGATGTTCTGTGTCTCCCTCATCCTGGCGCCCTCGGCCTGCGAGTGTTTGAGCCGCTCGGAGCCCGCAAGATCCACCAGGTTCAGTGTGCCTTCGCACCGCTCTCCCGTTGCCGAGTTGTAACCAGACAGCTTGAGGATGAAGACGCTGTGCGAACGCGACGACCGCTCGTTGGCCTTGGTAGCCGCCACTGACCGGTTGTTCTGCGCCTCAGCGAGCATCACCTCCACCGTATCCGCCGAATCAAGAGACACAGTCTTGCAGTTGAGCACTGCCGTCTGCTTGCGGGCATCGTCGTGTCGGATCTCGAGCTTGCGCACCCTGCCGTCCGACTCGCGGCTGTTGGGCGTCAACAAGTCGTTGAGCTCCTCGTTGTACACCTCAATAAAGGAGCCCTCCATCTTGTAGGTCCACTGCTTCTCCTTCAACTTGGTAACCGTGTCGTAAATCATGTGCGTCGCGCGAGGAATCATGCCGTCTGCAGAAGACATGGTGTGCGTCTTGCCAGATCCCGTCTGGCCGTAGCAAAAGATGCACACGTTGTAACCGTCGAGCGCGCTTTGCACGAGCTGCGAAATCTCGTCAAACACATCTTGGTTCTGGGCCGACGGGTCGAACACCCTGTCAAACTCAAAGTTGATGTTCTTGTTCGACACGTCGCCGAAACTGTTGACTTCCTGCGTCTGCAATGCAATCTCGGCAGATGTCTTCTCGTCGGGGAAGGTGACCTTGGCCGGCGTACCCTCTGACGAGCTGAGTACAGGACGGACTCTGCACATGACGCGGATATTGCCCTTGAGCTCCTGGTACTTGTTGAAGAGGACGCGGCGTTCCGTCTCCTCCTTGATAAGCTTCTCCTCGGCCACTTGGGCCGCCTTGAGCGCTTCCTGCAATCTGGCTTCCATGTTGGAGAAGGAGTCTGACTGAGCCTTACTATCCGACTCGAGAAACTCGACATGAGACTTGAGCGAGTTGATCTTGGCCTCGAGGGTGACGTTGGAGGCAGAGAGTTCCGAAATGCTGGCTTCGAGTCCCTTTTTGAGACTTTGCTCGCGGTCCAAATCTCCCTTGAGCGTCTCCACTGTGCCTCTCATTTCCGACACTTCTCTGTCCTTCTTTTGAAGGATGGCGTTGAGATCTTGCTGCTCATGGCCGAGCCGCGTTCGTAAATCTTGCACCTCCCTAGACTTCTGGTGACGCTCTTCCTCAATCTCGGCTTTGAAATGTCGCTCAAGAGCATCCAAAGCCTCGCGGTGACTCTTCTCCGCTCGTTGTGTCTCATCCTTGAGCTCGCGTCGCAGTTCGTCCAGCTCGTGGCGGTGCTTCCGGGCTTCGTCCTCGAGCTCATACTTGTGACTGCGTTTTTCCGTCTCGGATTCAATTGTCAGTTTTTGCATCTGTTCGCGCATGTTGTTGATTTCATTTTGGAAATTCCCATTGCGGTCTTCGAGTTTGTCTCGTTCCGCTTCGAGTTCAGATACTGCCAGCCGATTAGTTCAGTCCGCGCTAAGGTAGCTCGTCGTCCGAACTACTACTCACTTCTCTTCTTGTACATCTCCACTCGCTCGTCCATCAACTCCTTGTCAGAGAGCATGACAGTCATTGACTCCTTCACCTGCTTAAACTGCGAGTCAAGCTCGGCAACCCTGCCCTCGACATCCCAGCCTACGAATTGGGTCAAGTTAGAATCTTTTGTGAGAAAATGAAGTCTAGAAGGAGAAGGGGATCTAGCTGGGGATCTCGAGTCCTTGATGGCAATGATTGTTTCTTCGAGTCTTTCCATCAATGCCCTCGATCGCTTAGAATCTGGCGAAGGCGTGACAGGATCGGTCATGCGACTGGCCTGCCTCTTCTTGGGCGACAGATCTGGCGGTTTCGTGAGGGCCCTGCGTGATGGCGCGCGCATGGTGGCATTGTCCACTGGCGCGATGCTCGCCATGGTCGAGATTGAACTGACGCTAGTGTCTCCTCCATATTGGCTGAAAACCACTTGATCTTCATCTTGAGCTGAGCTTGTCGTACTGGCGTCGTCCTTGATGGATAGTGCGCCAAACCGACTGCTAAGAGAAACTTCTCTGTGCGAATGCATTTGGGACGTGTGACTGGCATGTCTAGCCTTGCTAGGCTGAAATTCAAGGGGTCGCAGAAAGTTCAGTCGCTGGGAATGCAGAGCCGTACCATGCTGTTGTTCCATTGGTCCATCAAACTCTTCCTCAGATCGATGACCGTATGCCGTGCGCGGTCTCGTATGCGGATTGGTGTTTCGGGTCCGGGACTGTCCGTGTACCGACTTTGAGTGAGCAAGGGAGGATTTTGCACGTTCATGGCCTCGGGGGCCGACGCTCGCGGAGAAGCTGCTGTTCTGATTGTATCGTGATGTCGTCGTCCCAATTCGAGGTCTGATATTATCTGGGTTTTTGAGCTGCTGCGAGTCAGCATGTAAACTACATGTGGTTGTAGTGAGCGAGCATTGGGCGGTACACAACACAGCTCATCCCTGTCGTCCGTCTCGTCGTCGCATTCCATGGCCTGGTAGCATTCGGCGTCTTGGACCTCGGCGTCTAGGAGTAGTCGAATGCAGCTACGTGTGTTGTCGCCGTCGCTTTGCAATCCCAGCCACAATTGGAGTCTACCGGAGACGCTTCGCATATATGTTGGTGTAGGTACTGAAGGACCGTTTTGAGGCCGAGAGCGTGGTCGGCGGAGGGTGTTTTTGTGCCAGGGAAGCGGGAAGGACGCAAGCAGCCTTTGCCAGAGGAATGATCGAGAAGCGGCCTGGATGACAGCCCGCCAGATATGCCGTATAGAGCGAAATAGGTGCACCGCTATCCAAAGGATCGTCCGAAGACCGTCAAGCCGGAGAACGATGCTGGAGGCCGTAGTCGACTCGGGGGCCATGTCCAAGGAGACGGGACGCTTCGACGTCGGTTGTTCGGGATGAGGTGCGAAGTGGACGATTCACACATGGGCAACGCAAGGCAACGAAACTGGGGAACCTACCTCTGCCAATGTCGACCCGGGCACCCGCCTGACAGAAGGGGCCCTGGCGATGCCAGAAGCACCCGCGCCTGCCGCCGCCGAGGATGGCTTGGTCGGGTATTCGCCTGCCCTCTCGGCGAGGGTCTTGTGGTGCTTGGTAGCCGAATGCTCAGCTGTAGAAGGCACTGTCAGCAGCCGCAACCAGTCATCCCAGCGCAAACCGGGAGGGTAATAAGACCAACCTGGCTTGGGGACCTCCCTCTTCAGGTTCATGGCGCTGTTGAGGGAGCCAATCTTGGATGCGCCCGGCGGCGGTATCATGGACGGGTGCGCGCGCGCGTTGCTTTGCGCTTCGTTCATTTCGGAGAGGCCAGAGGTGAAGGCGCCTGGTCGCGGGAGGTTGCTGTGAGGTCGCATGACGGAGGATCGGAAGTGATGCTGCTGTGAAGTGGTGTGTTGTTAGCTGCGTATGGTCCATCGTGGCTCTGCTCTGTCGCTGCTCTGGTTCATTGCAGCTTTGCGACATCGCCAAAGCTTCATGTCCCGGATCTGGATGTGAATGCAAGACATACCGTATTCTCCGCAGTGTCCATGTTGAGGATGCTGTCTACGCGACGAGCGACAACGGGTATGATGATGTGGGACACGAGGAGCAGCGCTCCGGTTCTGGACGCGGTAGGAGAAGACGTTGTGAAGTTGGAGCAGGCATGCGGCAAGGAGCAGCAGTAGCAGCAGCAGCAGCAGCGGGAATGGCTCAAAAAAAGAGAGAGCCCACAGCTATGATTGCAGTATGGGGAGGGGTGTGGGTTGTCAATCGTGACTGGTGGAGAGGTGCATCACCAGGGTCTGAGTGTTTACTGTGAATTGTGTACACAGTCGAGGCGCTGCCACAATCGCACACAACTTGTGACAGCCGGGGGTGGGGACGGCTGCCCGGGGCAACGGGAATTGTGCAACGCTGACATAAGACGGACATGGGACGCCGACACCAGGCAGTACCTTACCTTAGGTAATCACTGTGGCTGTATCTGGATCGGCACTCCATGTCTTGCTGCCTGAGGCTTGCTTTCATGAGAATATCCGAAGCTTCGCCGGAGGCCAGCTTACCTCAGCAGAATCAAGTGCAGCTGTCCTGATTTGGTAAGCGGTCGCGCGTCTTACCACTGCGTGCCACTGCATCCCCATCCTGCAGCCACCTCTGGCGCAACGCAACGTGGTGGTTCCCTTTTTTTTTTTTTGGTTTTATTTCTTTTTATTCTTTAAATTTCACATGTCACTGCTGGCCGTCCGCCGCACCATGACGTTGGGAAGCTCATTCGCCAGCTCACGTCGCATCTGAGATTTCGTTGTCTCGCTGCTCCTTTCCCAACGGACCGGGAAACTCGGTGCTGGGAGAACCACAGAGGAACATTGAGTTGCGTGACACGAGAGCAGCTTTGCCGAGTCTCACTCCATCTTCTGTTCTTCAGCTTTCCCCTCCTTCTCTGGTCTGTCTGTTCGTTCTTCTCAACGTCCTTGCGTCGATCCGCCCTTGGTACGCCAAGGTCCATCTAAACAAAAAAAAAAAAAAACACCACGACCGTTGCGATCCGGAGCCTCATGTCGCGGTGACCAACCCGCCTCTACCTTACCTTACCTTACGCTCCACCCCTCCCCGTCATCTTGCACTTATACGACCATTTCATCCCACCGTCACACCTCCCACCACATCTCCCACAATGGAGAAGTTCAGCCAGTTCCGCGACAAAGGTAAAGACAACCCGCTGATCACGATACCTTCACTGTTCTACAGACTAACATCCAACAGGTTCGGGCATCTCGCCCTTCATCCCCGTCAAAACAGCCCTCTCTCCCCTCTCCTCAATCTTCCACACCTTCCTCTTCTTCATCCGCCTCCCCCTCTTCCTGACCTACGCAGCAACCTACTTCCTCTTCCTCCAGCATCTATGCCCCTTCCTCCCCGTCGCCGTCCGCAAAGTCCTCCTCTGGGGCATGATGGGCATCCCCGGCATCTGGTGGGTCGACCTCCAGCTCGACGGCGTCCGCCGCGGCACCCTCGCCGACCAACCCCCGCAGCGCTTCCCCCACCCGGGCTCCGTCATCGCCGCAAACTTCACATCCCCCATCGACGCCGTCTACCTCGCCGCAATCTTCGACCCCGTCTTCACAATCTCCTACCCAAACACCAGATCCGTAGAACAAATCTCCCTCCTCCGCGCCGTCTTCTACGCCCTCTCCCCCGTCCGCTTCGCACCACCGCCAGCAACCCGAAAGCTCACCGACCTCGCCGCCCTCGTCGCCCGCTACCCGGACCGCGTCGTCGCCGTCTTCCCCGAAGGAGGCACCACCAACGGAAAAGGCGTCCTCCCCTTCACGCCCTCCCTCCTCGCCGTCAGCCCGGAAGTCCACATCTTCCCCGTCAGCATCCGCTACACCCCCGCCGACGTGACGACCCCGATCCCCGGCCGCTGGGCCAAGTTCCTCTGGGACCTGCTCTCCCGCCCGACGACCTGCATCCGCGTCCGCGTCGCCGAGAGCATCCTCAACTCCTCCGCCGCCCAGACCAACGGCGTCTCGTCCTCCGCTGCTTCTGGGGAGAACACCGCGCAGCGCAGAATCGGGGCCGGAGGCGGCGATGCGCCGCCGCTCTCGATCGAGGAACAACGCGTGCTGGATAAGGTTGGGGAGGCGCTGGCCAGGCTGTGTCGGAATAAGCGCGTCGGGCTGACGTTACGGGATAAGGCTGCCTTTATCGAGGCGTGGAACGGGCGCAAGTGAGCAAGCGACCCCGAAGCCTCCGACTAGTTCCCAAGCAAAGCGCAGAAGGGGAATCGAACGGTAGTTTGGCAAGCTGGCGGCCGTCGTGCATTTTACGTTGTTACGTTTTGCCCCGCGAGGTATATGTGTTATTGCATAGCTAGGAGCTTCGGAGGCGCTTGTCGTGCCAATGCTTTCCAGGAATCGTTTGGAGAGGCAAGAAGCAAGGGCAGAACGAAAAAAAAAAGCGGCATGGGCGAGCATCCGTTAAGGGAAGCCGTCGTGTAAACGTGTAAACGTAATCCAGGTGTGGACGTTTTGTAGTGTTTCTTACGTATACCACGAGTATTGACATTCGCGTTGAACAATCTTCTGCCTTCTTTTTATATCAACACTCCTGGCCAACTATACAGCAGCGAACCACCTCTTCTTCATGCAATTTGGTAAACCATGTAAACAAAACTCCGATTTTGGGGGACTACCTTTTCCGAAGCCGTACAAGAAGATGGTATAACAGTGTAGAAGAAACCTCTAGCAGAAAAAAATGAGGAAACAAACCCCGCCGCTCCCTTTTTGAATTCCGCCAAAAAGAAAATTGACCAAAAATAAGGAGAATCCTTCCTCCTCCTTCTCTCCCTCTCCTTTTTCTTCTCGCTGCTCTCTATCCCACAGACAGAAAAGCTCAGATCTTGCCGTCCGTGACACATCCAGAGCTAGCATCGCTCACAAGAGCAGAATACTTCTTCAGCGTACCCTTGGTATACTTGGGCGGCGGCGCCGTCCACTTGGCCCTCCGCTCCGCCATCACCTCATCCGACACATCCGTATCAATCACCCTCTTCTCCGCGTCAATCGTGATCTCGTCCCCGTCCTGCACCAACCCAATTGGCCCGCCCTCCATCGCCTCAGGCACGATATGCCCAATCAGGAACCCGTGCGAGCCGCCAGAGAACCGTCCGTCCGTCAACAGCGCCACGTCCTTGCCCAGCCCGGCGCCCATGATGGCGGAGCTAGGCTTCAGCATCTCGGGCATGCCGGGGCCGCCCTTGGGCCCTTCGTAGCGGATGATGACGACCGTCTTCTCGCCCTGCTTGATCTCGCCGCGCTCCAGGGCGGCGATGAAGCCGTCCTCCTCGTCGAACACGCGCGCCTTGCCCGTGAAGACGAGGCCCTCCTTGCCGGTGATCTTGCCCACGGAGCCGCCGGGCGCGAGCTGGCCGCGCAGGATCTGGATGTGGCCCGTCGGCTTGATGGGGTTGCTGAAGGGGCGGATGATGGGCTGGTCCTCGGGGAAGTCGGGCGTGCTGGCGACGTTCTCCTTCATCGTCTTACCGGTGACGGTGATGCCGGAGCCGTCGATGAGACCTTCCTTGAGGAGGAACTTGAGCAGGCCGGGGGTGCCGCCGATGCGGTGCATGTCGGCCATGACGTACTTTCCAGAAGGCTTCAGGTCAGCCAGGAAGGGCGTGCGGTCCGAGACGGCCTGGAAGTCGTCGACGGTGAGCTTGATGCCGACGGAGTCGGCGATGGCGAGCAGGTGGAGGACGGCGTTGGTGCTGCCTCCGAGGATATTGACGACGACCATGGCGTTCTCAAAGGCCTGGCGGGTCATGATATCGCGCGGGCGAATGTCCTCCTTGAGGAGGTTCTTGATAGCAGAGCCAATGTTCTCGCACTCGGCCTTCTTGGCGGGATCCTCGGCGGGGCTGCTGGAGCTGTGCGGCATCGTCAGGCCGAGCGTCTCGATGGCGGTGGCCATTGTGTTCGCGGTGTACATGCCACCGCAGGCGCCGGAGCCGGGGCAGGCGTTGCGGATGATGTCGAAGCGTTCCTCCTCCGTGATCTCGCCGGTGATGTACTGGCCGTAGGCCTGGAAAGCGGAAACGATATCAATGGACTCGCCGCTCTTGCTGCAGCCGGGCTTGATGGTGCCGCCGTAGACCATGATGCTGGGGCGGTTGACGCGGCCCATGGCGATGGCGACGCCGGGCATGTTCTTGTCGCAGCCGGGCAGGGAGATGTTTCCGTCGTACCACTGGCCGTTCATGACGGTCTCGATGGAGTCGGCGATGATCTCGCGGGACTGGAGGGAGTAGCGCATGCCCTTTGTGCCCATGGAGATGCCGTCCGAGACACCAATGGTGTTGAACTGGTAGGGGATGAGGCCGGCGTCCTTGACGGACTTGCGGACGAGGTTGGAGAGGTCGAGCAGGTGCATGTTGCAGGGGTTGCCCTCGTACCAGACGGACGAGATGCCGACCTGGGCCTTGTTCATGTCGTCCTCGGACAGGCCGGTGGCGTACAGCATGGCCTGGGAGGCGCCCTGGGATTTGGGCTGGGTGATGTTGGCCGAGACCTTGTTCAGCTTCTCGTCGGCGCGTCGGGGCGCGGTGGAGGAGAGGAGACGTCTGTAGAGATACTGACGTTAGCTATTTGCCATTGCTGGTCCATTGGGGGTTTCTTACGCATGGCTGGCAAAGGCAGGACGCCTTGTCGCAGCTCTGAGAGCTTGTGACTGGCGGGCGATGGACCTGGAGAGCATTTCGTCGAGGGTATCACCGGGCAAGCCCCAGGAGACGCGCAGCGGAAGGGGGTGAAGGGAAGGGAAAGGAAAGATGAGGCGTGTGTAAGAGAGTGTTGTTCAATTGAGTTCCCAATTGATCTCCTTTTTCGAATCTGTTTCCTCGATTCTTTTCCTCTTTTATATTGATGCCAGGTGAGTCACGAAGAAGAGGAAAAAAGAGGTGCGGTGGAAGAAAGACCCGAGATCACAGGGACAGTCACAGGGACACGGCGAGCAAAGAGACGTTGATGGTTTTTTTGGAGCAGCCGCTAG